GAGGAAGACATAACAGTCGACTGTCTCCACCCATACAATCCGTGGAATGTGCGTTCGGCTTGTCGTAGGCGGGGCACATTGAGGATGGGGATCGTATTTGGGCACTGGAAGAAGGGAAGGAATGGTACAACTTTCTCGGTTATCTCCCGTTCCATGTGCGCTATATTACCTCGCTTACGGCGGTTTTTTCCGAGGGAAAATTGAAGAATTTCTGGGGAGAAGGTAGCAATCAGAAGAGGAAATTTTGAGATAGTAGCCTACATTGCTAAATTTTTCCCTGTTGGGACGTGCCCTGATCGTAGACCTGTAGCGCACCATCCTCCTTTCTCTCGGGCCACTAAACCAACACAAAAAGACGCTTGAGAAGGTGTTGGAGGCTAGTTTAACGTCTGCAAATTCTCACAGGTCCCCACAATTACTGAGGGTGGAGGAGGTAATGGTAGCGTTTAGATGATGAGTTGCCGCCACGCGTTGTAATCATCTTTGAGGTAGTTTTCGCCTTCAGACGGGGTTTAGTGTATAATCCAATTAGGCAGGCGATCAGAAGCAACTAGAAAGGACGGGAATCAGTTATCGAAGTGTTTACTCGTTTAGTTTTGATAACTTTTAAGTCAATTAGAAAAAAAAATCAGGGGGGAGGACCCTCATCGTTTCAGTAAAGGGGTTAAAATCCCCGCCAACAGGAACCACGCGTGGAGATCCGGCTCCACTAATGCAATTCCATCGATCATATCTTTCTAAGTAACCAGTCAATTATATCGGAATGTGGATTGCAATTAGGATTAGGCGCAGGGTCAAGCGAGTGGCGCGGAATCCGCGATGAGGATAAGGAGGTTATACGTTGCAGATCTCAACTTCCTCTCGTAAACTAGATTTTAAAGGTTGGAGCTTGGACTTTGGGGAATCGTACTCGGGACAAGTTCTGCCGACGGAATTCAGTAAAACACGACCCGTCCCCCTCAAAAATTCCTCCTCACGACCCTCTGCCCTTTCTCATCCTACTGGAATTCCTTTAATTCTTACAAGTTTCTTCATTTTTTCCGGAGTTTTTTCCAAATAACTGTCGTGTCGTGTCGGGAGGGAGGATGGGTGTATTAAAGGGTAAGAAACTAAGGAAAATAAACAACTGAGCAACTCATTTCTTGCGAGCCAAATTCTTGGACCCCACCGCCCCTTGCTCGGACCCCAGAGCACGACGACCTGGCCGTGGTCGTACTTAGAAAGGCTCTTTGTCAGTATAATTGGACCTGAATAAGTGGTATCAGGGGTAGGAGTTCGAGCAGAAAAATAACGAAATGTATGGAGGGAGTGATAGAATATGGATGGAACGGGGGGGGGGGCAAAAAAAACACTCCCCTATGACGCGTACAATTGGAGCTTACATGGTCAGGACTTGGGAAAGGGACTCTTTGAACTTTGCTTTGTCACATTTATCTTAATCCCCGCAATCTTTAGGACCCGGTACGGGGTGATGCCTCTTGCCAGCTGCCCAGGAGTTTAAAAACAACCGCTCTAGTAGCCGTTGAAAACCCAGGACCTCTTTCAACAAAAAGTTGTTTAGAAGCGAGGGATCCTAAAGGCTTTCTCCCAGCCCGTTTTTTAATGGGCTTCTAATTCTGTTTCAAGGTCGTCGGCTTCACGTCTGTCTGTTTTAGCTCTGCCGTTTAAGCGTCGCCAAATTACGGCGCGTGTTGTCCTTCAGGTTCAAGTTTAAAGTTCAATTGCGCTTGATTAGTGTAAACAATGTTTTCACGCGAATTCGTATTGCTGTTGACGTCGCTGGAAAGAAGCCGGTCACAACCTTGAAAGAAAAAGCTGGTCAAGGAAAGCCACGGTAGGGTAGCATATCCTGAGCCTGAGTACTATTAGTGCTCCCGAGAATCGCAGTTTCCCGAATTCAAGAAGCCTGTGTTATGGCGGCTGTTATCTAATTGATCAGGTCTGGTCGAAATGTTTCGCGCACAGGCGACTTCATTTGCAGCTCCGTTTTCGCCGCAATTCAGATGTAATGTCCCCATACCCTTTTCGGTCATAGTAGCTGGACAGTTCAGCCTAACCACGTGCGCGGGAATTTTGCCTCATTTCCTCCTGAGAATGTGGGATTGGTGCCTTCCAGATAACAATTAAAGCCCCCCACTAATCCCTCCAAAGAGTCTTAGTTTCTGAGAAAAAAAGGAAGTACTAACCTGTTCTCCATCCCTCGTCGCTCCTTGAACTGTGGTCCAACAATACATGCAATCGTAGGTCCGACGAGACCTCTAATCACAGGATCTTCCAGTAAAGCCCCAACCCAGAGATCAATTCGATCTACGCTGCCGTAGACCTTCTCCAACTTCTCACGAGTAGCTGTGTTAAGGATCTCCCGTGATAACTGAAAGAAATTGGATTTGTTGGGAAAAACTTATGGGTTCACGATATTTCGAATAACTTTGATGGCCATGATCGCGGCCTCGCTGAAAATAATGGGAATTTCGAACATTCTTTCCTCACATCTCGCAATAGTTGGATGGGCGGAAAATTTCGGTCTTTATGCCTCTTTCATTGGTGTGCCCCCTTTCACAATGACACAGAATTGTGTCAATGAGGAAGGCGCAATGGTCTCCCCGCCCATCTGATTTTCGCGGAATAGGCCTTCAACTTCAAGTGGAATTGAACAGGAATTCCAGAGGCTCCACACGAAGCCAGGCGAGTATCTTACCTGAATGTTGATCGTACTGAGATCTGTAGAACCAAACATATTTTCCGTAACGGTCGTAGTGACTCGTTGTGGTCGTTTGACATTCTGGGTGAACATTCCTCTCACCAAAGGATCCGGTCCTCCCTGGAATGATACCGTATCACGAAGGATAAAGGTATGCATGAACCATCACAATAAAAGGTTCCATACCTCATTTACAAGTACATCTGAATGTAATGTGCCTTTTTGGAGTGCAAGTGCTCCAAAAGATGAGTTACCAAAGTTAGGATCAAGCCGTTGGTAGAACTCCTGAAAGATTTTCAGTCTTTCAAATTCTGTGGGCAGCAATGTTGACGTCAGCAGTCCGTTACAGGACTGAGCAATCACCTGAATCATTCCGTGACCAAATCGGAAAGCAGCTGACGTGAATTCATTGGCAATGGTGGCGTCGACCGACGGATCATAGCCTCGATAATCACCGACCACAGAAGAGAACGCTGCACCCAAAATCTTCGGTAACCATTCTCTGGAATCCATAGAGGAAGAGAAACGCTGCACCCAAAATCTTTCGGTAACCATTCTCTGGAATCCATAGAATTTGTGTGGAAGCGAGGAAGCGCTGAGAAAGGGGAGAATCCTCTCAGGGGTCTCTATATATCTCAGTGTAGCGGAAGGGAGAGGGTTCCGATATGGTTTCGATAGAAATTTCTCGAAGTCGCGAGGTTTTCCCACGGTCGTTGATTTTTCCCTTTCATACGCGCTGTAAGCTCCCCTCCCCGCTCGGACAGGCTACATTGTTGTTGGGGATTCTCCAGTAGGGATTGGTTCGTATTTGCGCTGCCAGAAGAGGGCGCCGTCGTATGTGCTGGGCTGCGGAAAAAGGTTTACTTTGATAGTGATTTTTCTCACTTCACGGACGCTTGTAAAAAGGGGGTGGGGTCGCATTACGCTTTTGGCTACGTACTATATACCCCCCCCCGCTAAGTCGAACGGCTCGATTCGATGAGAGAGATAGAGGGTGATGTCGGAGGGGGGAGGTCGCTACCACCCCCCCCCAAATAAAAAAAGGGTGGGAGGTCGTACAGACTCGGACTTTGAAATCCCCAACCAATGATGTGCCTCTGCGCCTCGATGGCCTTTTTGGGTAAAAAACTTAATATATGTTTTGCAATGAAAGGCCACTTGGAAGCACGATGTAAGAGTGGGAAGTTAGGATGAAGAAAAGAGTAGGTTGATGTACTGAAAGAGGGGGCTGAAGTTGGGGGGAGTCCTACTGACATCCGATGTTGTTCCTTGGGTAGCGAACCTCAGCTACACCTGCGCCAGATCTTTTCTGCATATAGGGAGCAATAACTCAATTGTGACTATTGGAAGGAAGCTGAACAGGGTCAACAGCCCCCCGCCCCCGCCTCCACCTCAGTCTCGTTGCGCTGGAACGCCATGACGTTTTAGCGGCCGGTTCACCTAAGCCAGTCTACAGACAGCAGCTCGAGCAGAGAAAAAACGAGCTCTTTGAGCAGGAGCATCTCTGCTTCTGTTCCATCTGAAGCCTCCCTGACGTTGCCGCGCTCGCAGCTACGGACTAAAAGGCTATTTTTTCCACTGAGACATGGTCTGCAGACAAGGGCCTAATATTTGGACATTCCTGTAAACTCCTAGCTGGAGGGTCTTCGTTGGTCTCGAAAGAAGAGAATGACCACAAGAGAATATGGTTTGAACGGAAAATGTAACCCAGGCTCACCCTTCACTTGAGGCCAGAAAAAGAAACATTTCTACAGATAGTAAGTAATCTCACCTGTAAACGATAGCCTGTACTTCAGCTCCGACAATTTTTCGTGCTTCATGATAGAGTCGGTCGCCATTCCAGTGGGGATTTAGTCGAGATAGAGTCGAAGCAATCCTAAATTGAGGGTTTCTCAAGGGGTTCTTCAACGGACGCATCCCAAAGAAATCAGGGAGACGAACCGGTTGTGTTCTCGGGTGAATATCGTGTGCCAGGCTGACAGACCAACGAACAGATTCACTCGACTGTCTCCAGCTGTGAACACTACTGTACAGGAGCTGCGACTTCTGCACTTTGATTGATCAAACGGTAGCACTGAAACAATTCTAATTGAAATTGTTGGCGCATTCCCCTCAAATGGAGGAAGGACCATTGCTGAAAGGGGTAGATAGCGCCCTTCGAAGCACTCAGCCTACACCCTCTGGGATATACCTCCACCCGCTGTTTGTTGCTCGGCTACTCTCAGTCTATACAGTTTCTTCGCTGCGTACGCTGGGATGTTTCAGTGAATCTAGATTTGGCGCGACTCCAGCCTGTTCTGCACCAGTTGCGGAAGCTTATAGGCGACTAAAATTGGTGGAAATCGGAACACTACATAACCAGGGCGACATACATTGGTTGGGATTTTAAGTCGTAGTGCCGTACGGCCCTCCCCGCCTTTTTTTGGTTTTTATTTTGGGGGAGAAAGGGTAAATAGCAGCATGTGAAACAGGAAAAGCCGCGATACAATACGACCTCCCTCTTCTACCAATTCTCAGATTTTCCCCAACTTCCTGCCAATTTTTCGAAAATTTTCCGAAACTTCCCTACTCTTTTTCCCAAAAATTTTGCTGTCGAGCGCGGGGAGAGAGGTAGGGGGGGCGGGGTAACGCATGAAACCGGTAAATCACGGAAAAAGTCAACGCCACTCCCCACCACTCTTAAATGCCAAGGAGTAAAACGACCCGCCCCCTCAACAAGTACGACCCCACCACCTCCTTTTACAACGTCCGTGAAGCGAGAAAAATCAACTATCAAAATAAATTTTCCTCAGCCCCCCCCCTCTCCTGGCGGCCAAATACGACCCCCCCTATTGGCGATTCCCCAACGGCGATGTGCCCTGCTCCAAACCCAGCCCTCCCCCCACGCGAAACATCCCTAGCCAACAAGACTGTAGTTTTGCAACAAACGATGTTTCTTACAGTAGGCAATAAATCCCCAGTTAAAAACGCGGCCTCGTGAATAACGGCTAGTTTCTCGCCATTCAAAAGAGGCGGAATGAACAGCAATGAAAAGTCAGGTTTCGCTCGAGAAGAAAAAAAAAACAACATTTCCCATTAAGTGGTGAGCCGAAACCTATAATTTCCGCCTAAGTGGTAGTTATACTAAAAGACGTTATCTAATTGTCTGTTGAAAAAGGGTCAACGTTTGTTCCTTGATTGGGCTAAGTCTTATGTGACAAGTGAAGGAAAATGTTTGCTAAAGCATAAATTACATCAATTGAAACAGAAAGAGGCGCTATCTGGTTTGGTGGGGGCACTTCGCACTTTTGTTAGTTCTTCTTACTAGCTATTAGGTCAGCACCTATATGCTCCTAAGGAGCTGCGAAATGTTTTAAATGACCCCACAAAGCGGAGCGTCTAAAGGGGAAACAAAACGGGTGGATTGGTGTTTCTGGGATGCGCCATGCACTCAGCTGCCCTTCAAAGCCGCTATGATTGATTGGATGCCTCTCTGGTGTATCATGAGTTGCGAGCCCAGCTCTTATTGAGTATGTGCTTCCAGTACTCGAAAAAAATCAGCATCTGCTTTGAGCTGACCCCGCGCATCACACTCGCACATTGCTCATTATCAAAGGGATCTTATCTAGGGCGGTTTCGGCAGTTCCTGCTGATTTTCGTCATTGGAAAAGACGGATTCTACGTTTGTCTGATGCTGCAGAAGCCCTCCCTGGTCCAGCATGGCTGTCGCCTGCAAGCATCGAGGGTGACCCACTTTGGCGATTTGGAAATGCTTGGTAGAAACGGCAGTTTAGTGCTAGCTTTACGTTCTCCGCCCCCGCATACGCTTTTCACCCTTACCGTCTCCGTCGTAATGTTGCATTCAGTGCACGTCCATCCGTTGGGGAAAATTTTTGCAAACTGTGACCTCTTAACAGTCCCCCCCTCCCCATATACTCCTATCACTACTACCAATCTCCTAAAGTTCCCTCCCTACCCTACCATATTTCGCCGAATTTTTTCCAAAAATTTCCACTATTTCTCCAAAAGGACAGCGGGCGAGACATAGCCACAGTTGCAACAGTAGGGAACCCATGAAAAGTCACAGCTGACAACATTTTTTTGAAGTTCAACCTTACCCCTTCCCTCAACACGAAAATACACCCCCTTTCGCTGGGAATCCCAGCAAGGGAAATGACGTACCAGGCGTGCAGTACAGTATTATAGCGGTGGAGTCTGGGCCACTTGTGTTTTCTCTCTGCTTCATTCTACGGTCGGAGCGCCTTCACTGTGTGCTTATATAGTAGTTGAAGAAGACGGGAGTCATATATAGGGCGCTTGACGTTTTTCTACTTTTTCCCCAGGGCTGAGTTACTTAGTAAGTGACAGTGGAAGTCCTATTTTACCCCGTTCGCCACAAATGGCTGTAGCGGGCTGCCTTCAGGCTACTTAGCGCCCACGAAAATCCCGCTACAGTCGATCTGGGTTCGCGGAAGGTGTCCTTAAGTTTTCCGCTACTTCTTTTCTGTGAAAACTCTTTGAGCAGCTACCGATGGTTCTTCACAAAGGATGAGATTTAGCTATCGAGAAATCTAAGTGCAGAACGAATGGGTTCCAGTCAGGCGAACCACTCCAGATTTCAATCGGGAATCAATCTTGTCTGAAACAGTTTGGTACCCATAAAAGACATTTCTAAAAGTCACTTTTTTTCTTTTTTTTGTTACCTTGTAGAACTGATTAGCGCAATTAGAGTGATCTGTCACCATTAGGACACTGAGCACCTTCAGCAAGATTTTCCATCGTTTGAAGAAGGGAATCAGTTCTTCTGTGAGAATCTGACGGGAATGGTCTATATGATCCAAGATACGATAGCGCAAAAAGCGGCGCGTCACAGTTCGGCTTGGTGGGATCACCAAAGGTACTCAGCGAAGCCTGTACTGCCCATCTTTCAAAGTCCTCCGAGTTTATGGCCAACGTGGCTCACTTGTACCATTTCGCAGCTCCACAAGAGTTTACAGGTCTCACCAGAATAGTACGTGTTAGTTATCATTAACTAGCAAAAAAGAGCTACTGGCAGTGCTAGCCCCCTCCCCTTCCTTCCGCCCCACCCCAAGCCGAACAGTTCCAGCGGCGTTAAAACGCGTAGTGCACTCACATTCGCACTATCAAACTGCGAGAAATACTAAATGGTGGGCTGGGAAATAACCGTTACGAGGATCGGAGGTTGGGATTGAGTGAGGCACCTTTACATCATCTGTGAAAAACTGGACTGTGCGAAGTGACAATGGTCATGGAAGGACAAGGGAGGGCAGACGAGGGCAGTAAGTTGTCGCTGTTCTAAGGAACGAGTTCAGATAGTGTTGATATCAAATAGCACCTTTACCATCACTTTGTGAGAATTCGTACATTGGCCAGACTACCGAAACAATCAGAGGAACTTTGAAGTAGAAGGAAAAAAATCTGCGCAGTTCGGCGAGGGGGGCATTTTGCACTCCGAGCCATCTAGAGAGCTCTTTCATGAGCAAGACAAGAGTTGACGGGTTTTACCATGGTGGCTAGACGAGCTTGCTCCAGCTTCACAAGAGTTCACAGGTTTCACCAGAGCGGAACTTGTGAACCGGAACTAGTAAAGCAGTGAGGTACAAAATGCCCCACTCCCCTTTGCCGAACAGCGCCCAAAAACTTCTAAGCTATTAGAAACCTACTTAGACATTCCATGGAAAGAGGGCAGTTTCAGGAAACCAGTTCCTTCCTTCTCGGAACTTGGCCATATCAGCAACGGAAGAGCCATAAATGGGGGACGCATCGATGTAAGCTAAAGAGAGAATCCCTTTGTAGAGAAGCTCACAATAACACTTAAGAGGCTCGCAGACCTGTATTTTCATTGAGTTGCTGTCGGGGTTTCTGGTTACCAGATCCACAGATTGGCGACGATCGGGAGACTCGTACACAGCCGTTACGGCGGAATCTAAATTCCTATTTTAAAGTTGTCGCAGCTGCGGATATTAAAAATCATCGTCAAAAAG